ATTATTATTATTATTATTATTATTATTATTATTATTATTATTATTATTATTATTATTATTATTATTATTATTATTCAAAAATATATTTATTTGATGCGTTCGATTGTAATCTTAATATTTTATAATTAATTAATTAATTAATTAATATCAATAAAATAATTATGGGGATTTGTGCGAAACGAAAAAAATTATTGAATTCAATATGAATTTTAAATTAAATACGAAAAAATTTCTTGATTGTTGTTGTCTAATAGCTTGAATAGATATGCTTTTTAATAAATTATTTGAAGAAAAATCGTAAATATTTGTTTAAGAAAAACTTCTTTTGTTGAGCAGTATCCGCATTAATTCAATCAGATAATTTTGTTATCGTTATATCAAAGTATAAATCAATTTGATCGAAAACTGGTAATAAAGTCAGGGCCTTTGCTATTACGTATACTAAAATCATTTAGATTAGTTTTTTTTTAATAAGCAAACGTGAAAATACTGACGCTCTTTTCTTTCAAATTTTTGTTTATTTTTCTTTGTAGCTAATTTTTCTTTATAATTCACCGTTGCAAAAAGTAATATAAGCCAGAATTATTTTATTTCTTGAATTTCAATTTTCTTAAAAATTTTAAAGATGTACCGGTACGTACAAGTTTCGAATCTCCAAGATAGTTTAGAGATCTGTCATTATTTCATATTTACTTTTTCTAATTTGCTCATGATAAAAAAATCAATTTTACTTTCAAATCAATCAAGTTATGTTATCCATTTCACATGTATAGCAATAGCAATTATAGCCAATTTAAATAATAATTGAGTTTATTATCAAAAATCTCGATGCTGCCATATTTCATGTACATATATAGAAATAAATGTTTACATTATCTGGTTTTCTTTCAACAAGCTTATATTATATAATGCTTGAACTAATGACAACTGGACCTATTAATCCAAATCCAAACCCCATTGACAAGGCAACAGCAGAATTGGTTGATGCCGTCGCCACCGCGGTTATTCACAGTGACGGTGCCAAACAAGCCTCCGCTGGTGCCGCTAACGGCGGCGGGGCCTCCACTGGCGAATTGGGTTGCTGCGCAGACGTTTCCGGCTTGGATTACGTTGTTGTTATCGAACAATGGTGATGCGTTAGATGAAGCGAAGATTGCTAGAATCAAAGCGACCACGAAAAGTTGTTTAGATGTAGTCATTTTCTGTTTTTATTCGAGTTGCTTGTTGATTTTCGACTTTTGTTTTTTACTTCGAATGAAGATTTGGGAGAGAGTGGGAGTTTCTTTTTATAAGAAAATTTCTGTCTGAAACATTTGTTGTTTGAATGTACGAAACATATAACAAAACATACACTTGTAATAAAAGCACTCTACATAGAAATGATATTAATAATTCATAGAAGCAACTGAATACCAGAAGTACAATGATCACGCAAATAACGATAATGAGAATACAACCGAATAACGACAATGAAAACACTAAGAATTAGACACCAGAAGAAATACAACGACAATGAAAACACTAAGAATTAAACACCAGAAGAAATACAACTATAACGCAAATAACGACAATGAAAATACTAAGAATTAAACACCAGAAGAAATACAACTATAACGCAAATAACGACAATGAAAATACTAAGAGAAGAAATACAACTATAACGCGAATAACGACAATGAAAACACTAAGGATAACAACAATGAAATAACACTAGTAGTACATGTACAACTGGGTGTAATGTGATTTGAATATCGATCAATATGCGTAAATCGTTTATCGTTATCTTAAAAGTCGATTTTAAATCGATTTTTAAATCGACTTATTAAAATAATTACGTATCGGTATCTGATTATTTAATTTGAAGATTTATTTTGGCGCCAATCAGAACTCCTTCACACATAATAATATAATCACAAAATAAATTGTGGCGACTGAATATTTGTCATAAGTATTATACAGTTCTTGAATAAAGTATTAGTTACTCAAGCATATTTGTCACAGATACTATATTATTTAGTGATTAGTTCTAGGCTCTCTGAACATATTTGTAATGAAGTTTATCAAAGTTATATTAAATAAATAAGTCATTATTCATAAATCTGTCTTTAAATTGTACTTGTGATAATACAAATATTATAATTTCTATATTTTTGACTTTGAGATTTTGAGAACACTTTTTAGTTATTCAGATTATTGCATTAAAAGAACACAATTATTATCAACCTTTAAGTGGTTTTGTCACTAGTACTTTTAGTACTTATTCACATTCAGTCTAATAGTTATAAAGTATTATTAATACCTTGAATTATCATTAAGATATTGGAAGTTCCCTTTGAATATTTCTTTAAATCTTGTAAATATCTTTAAGTATTTCAAAACAGTAACAATATAATTTTATTAATAAAAATTTTTATTTTTATATTAAATCAAAGACTATAAGTTATATTTTAATATATATTTTTTCTGATAAAATTATTTTAATTATAAAGTTATTACATAAATTTTTTATAATTAATTTTACATTTTAATTAAAAATTTTTATAATAACTTTTTAATTAGAACAACTTTATCAAAAAAATTTAGAATATATATATTAATAGATTGAATTTATCTATATTACTAGTAGTATATTATACTATTTTATAATATTTTTTGATAGTAATTATTATTAATTCAATATATTAATAAATACAATTTGAAAAATATATAAAATTATAAACTAAATATTTTTTATATACAAAAATTTATTAGATATTCTAATATTATTAAATATAATTTTATTTGATATTAATTAATATTAATTAATAAAATAATTAAAAAAATTTTTTTAGAAAATGTTATTTTTTAAAATTTTAACTATATTACATATAATATAATATAAAAAGTATTTTAATTATAAAATTACTAATAAATATCAAGCACAAAAACTAGTTATCAAAAAATTTCAAGAAATTTTATTTTTTAAAAAAATTTATAAAGTTATAAAAAATATTTAATTATATAAAACTTTTAATACATAATTATATATATTTAAAAAATTATTAAAAAATATTTAAAAGTATAATTAATATATTAAATTAGTAAATAATTGTTATCAAAAAGTATTGTTACACTTATTTTCAAAAATTTTATAATTAATGAATCTTTTAAAAATAGTAGAAAATATGAAAATCTTCAAAAATAGTAACAAAATAACAAATCGATAAAAATAGTCTATACATATTAATTATTTAATAATTATATAATTATTATTATTATCTATTTTTTTACTCTTTCTATCTTTATTATCTACTTTTTCTATTTTTATATCTTTATTAACTACTTTTTCTATCTTTTCTATCTTTATTATTTATCTTTTTTACCTTTTCTACCTTCATTATTTATCTTTTCTACTTTTTTTATCTTTGTTATTTATCTTTTATACCTTTGTTATTTATCTTTTCTATCTTTACTATCCTTACTTTTTATCTTTTCTATCCTTTTTTATTTATCTTTTCTACCTTTTATATATATTTTTTTATAAGTTTATAATGTAGATAAAACTAAAAAGTATTGAGAAATTTTATATAAATAAGAGTATTTATTGTCTTATGTTTTAATCTCATATTTCAATGCTTAAAACAAATTAATAAATTTTAATCTTGATACAATAAGTTAATGACTATCTTATTATTATAAAATTAATATTTATTTTTGTATCTTCTTTTATCAAAATAAGTTGTCTGGCAAAAATAATTTGTTGATTGAACTTCAAATCTTATAATTCACTTTTTATAAATCTTGAGCGAGATCAAGAAACTGAATATTAATTTGTATAGAATTGAATTACTTTTGTTTTTGAATTTGAAAAAAATGGTTAAAGTATTTTTGAATAAGTATATTGATTTGCTATAGTATTATTTTTGATATAATTGTGCATTACAACTTTAAATAAGTGATATTAATTTGTATAATTATGTACTGTAACTTTAAATAAGTGATATTAATTGTATAGTTGTGTATTGTAACTCTAAATAAGTAATATTTCCTTTAATTATTCATTTTCTTTGATATTGAAAGCACTAGAATATATGACTACAAGTATAAAAATATTAATACCTTTTTATTTAGTTAGTAACTCCTATTAACCAATTATCTCTTTGAACATACTCTTCCAATTTTTCTTTTCATTTTTGATAGAATTGTTTAACAATTTCTGTCAAAATTGATGCAAGTTTAGATATTTATTTTTGCATTGACCAATTTTATTAGTCTATTCCTTTCTCTCAACTCATATAACTCTTTTACTAATAGTAAAGAAAATTTTTATTTAAAGTAACTGTAGTAGTATTATAATATAGTACAATATATTATTAGTAGTACAAATAAATTTAATTTATTAATTATACTTTTAAATATTTTTTAATAATTTTTTAAATATATAATTATGTATTAAATATTTTATATTGTCACCATTTTACTTGGATTTCAAATATATTATATCTTCTTATATGCTCAATACGTTGTTACAGTCCAGAATTATCCTTAATTCCTTAATTTCTTAATTCTGATCATGTGACTCAACATAGATTGTAGAGATAGCAGAG